TTGATTCCATACAATATGTGGTCTTAAAAAATACTTTCTATTTTGAAATATTTTATTTTTAAATAATATAGACATAGGAAACCAGAAAAGGTACAGAGACCCATCACTCAAGTTCTTCCGGTGGTGACATCTTCCATAACTGTAGTACAGTATTGAAACCATCAGTGCAATCTACAGACCTAATCATATTGCAGGTTTTATATACGCTCACTGTGTGTGTGTGTGTCTGTGTGTGTGTGTGTTTGTGTGTGTGTGTGTCTATGTGTGTAGTTCTGTGCAGTTTTACCACATTCATCGATCTGTGTGTCCACCAGCTCCACCATCAGGATATGGAACTGTTGCTTTACTGCAAAGGAGCCCCTTCTGTAGTAGTTACAGAACCTTCCCAGTCCCCATCTCCAACCCCTAGTAAACACAAATATACTAATCGGGTCTCCATTTCTGTAATTTTATTTTGTCTATAGATCATACAGTAGGTAATCTTTGAGGATGACTGTTGTTTATCCAGCATAATGCCCTTGAGATCCATCCAAGTTGCTGCCATATCAATAATTTTTCCTTGTTTTGTCTTTTTTGAGACAGGAGTCTTGCTCTGTTGCCCAGGCTGGAGTGCAGTGGTGCCACCATAGCCCATTGCAGCCTGATTCCTGGGCTGAAGCAGTTCTCTGGCCTCAGCCTGCTGAGTAGCTGGTACTACAGGTGCACACCACCATGCCTGGCTAATTTTTGTGTTTTTAGAAGAAACAGGTTCTCACCATGTACCCAGGCTGGTCTTGATCTCTTGGCTTCAAGCAGGCCTCCTGAATAGTCCTGTAATCCCATCACTTTGGCCTCCCACAGTGTTGGGATTACAGGCGTGAGCCACCATGCCAGCCCAATACATAATTTTTAAGCATAGTCACCCTATTGTGCTATCAAACATTCAATTTATATATATATTTGTATTTATATATATATTATATATATATAAAATATATATATATAAATATATACATATATATATAATATATATGTATATATATATAATATATATATGTATATATACATATGTAGTATATATATATAATATATATATGTATATATATATATAATATATATGTGTATATATATATAATATATATGTGTATATATATATAATATATATGTGTATGTATATATATAATATATATATGTGTATATATATATATTATATATATATTTTTTTTCCTGTGACTGAGTCTTGCTCTGTTGCCTAGAGCTGGAGTGCAATGGCGCGATCTCGGCTCACTGCAATTTCCGCCTCCTGGGTTCAAGCAATTGTCATGCCTCAGCCTCCCGAGTAGCTGAGATTATAGGCATGTGTTACCATGCCTGGCTCATTTTTGCTTTTTTTAGTAGAGATGGGGTTTCACCATGTTAGCCAGGCTGGTCTCCTAACTCCTGACCTTGTGATCCACCCGCTGTGACCTCTCAAAGTGCTGGGATTACAGGCGTGAGCCACCGTGCCTGGCTGAATTTATTTCTTCTGTCTTACTGTACGTTTGTACCTGTAACCTACTTGTCTTTATCCTCTCCTGTTCCCTCCCCACTCATCCTTTCTAGTCTCTGTTATCTATCTTTCCAATTTCTACCCCATGTAATCATATTTTTTTAGCTCCCACTTATAAGTGAGAACATGAGGTATTTGTCTCTTTTTTCTTTTTCTTTTTCAGACGGAGTTTCGCTCTTGTTACCCAGGCTGGAGTGCAATGGCGCGATCTCGGCTCACCGCAACCTCCGCCTCCTGGGTTCAGGCAATTCTCCTGCCTCAGCGTCCTGAGTAGCTGGGATTACAGGCACGTGCCACCATGCCCAGCTGTTTTTTTGTATTTTTAGTAGAGACAGGGTTTCACCATGTTGACCAGGATGGTCTTGATCTCTTGACCTCATGATCCACCCGCCTCGGCCTCCCAAAGTGCTGGGATTACAGGTGTGAGCCACCGTGCCCGGCCTATTTTTTTATTTTTATTTTTTATTTTATTGACAAGGTGTTTGTCACCTGGGCTGGAGTACAGTGGCGTGATCATGTCTCACTGCAGCCTCAATCTCCTGTTCTCAAGAAATCCTCCTGCCTCAGCCTTCTGACTTGGGAAGATAGGCATGTACCACCATGCCCAGCATTTGTCATATTTTGAGTTAATTTTTGTTTGTTTGTTTGTTTTGTTTTTTTAGATGGAGTCTTGCTCTGTCACCCAGGCTGGTGTGCAGTGGTGTAGTCTCGGCTCACTGCACCTCTGCCTCCCAGTTTCAAATGATCCTCATGCCTTAGCCTCCCTAGTACTTGGGACTATAGGCACACGCCACCACGCCCAGCTAATTGTTTGTATTTTTAGTAGAGATGGGGGTTTTTGCCATGTTGGCCAGTCTCATCTTGAACTCCCGGCCTCATCTGATCTGCCCGCCTTGGCCTCCTAAAGTGTTGGGATTAGAGGAGTGAGCCACTGTACCTGGCTGATTCTTCATGATTGTTCATAATCTGGTCCCACTCTCTACCACACTTTCTTTGCCTGTCCTCACTCCCAAGCAACTCCTGATCTCTTTCTGTTACTATAGATTAGTTTGCATTTTCTAGATTTTTTTTTATGTAAACGGAATCAAACAGTATATAGTGGGGAGGTGTTTTGGCCTGTTTTTGTTTTTTTGGGGTGACAGAGTCTTGCTCTGTCACCCAGGCAGGAGTGCAGTGGCATGATCTTGGCTCACTGCAGCCTCCACCTCCAGGGTTCAAGTGATTCTTCTGTCTTAGCCTCCCAAGCAGCTGGAATTATAGGTGTGTGCCACCACACCTGGCTAATCTTTGTGTTTTTAGTAGGGATGGGGTTTTGCCATGTTAACTAGGCTGGTCTCAAACTCCTGACCTCAAGTGATCTGCCCACCTTGGCCTCCCATAGTGCTGGGATTACAGGTGTGAGCCACTGCTCCCAGCCAACTGAGCATAATTATTTTGAGATTTTTTTAATGTTATATGTATCCATAGTTCATTTATTTTTATTGCTAGTATTCCATTATATAGATATCCCACAATTTGTTTATCTCTTCTCTTGTTCATGGATATTTAGGTTGGTTCGAATTTTTGTCTATTACAGATAAAGGTGCTATGAACATTTGTATACCAGTCTTCTTATTTATTTATTTTTATTTATGTATCTATGTTTTGAGATGGAGTTTTGCTCTTGTTGCTCAGGCTGGAGTGCAATGACACGATCTCGGCTCACTGCAACCTCTGCCTCTCGGTTCAAGCGATTCTCCTACCTCAGCCTCCTGAGTAGCTGTGATTACAGGCACATGCCACCACGCCCAGCTAATTTTTTTGTATTTTTAGTGGAGATGCGATTTCATCATGTTGGCCAGGCTAGTCTCGAACTCCTGACCTCAGGTGATCCACCTGCCTCAGCCTCCCAAAGTGTAGGGATTATAGGCATGAGCCACCGTGCCCAGTCATATACCAGTCTTTTCATAGACATATATTTTTGTTTTTCTTGGGTGCCTATTTGGCAGTAGAATGGTGGGTCATATAGGTAGATGTGTAACTTTTTTAGAAACTTCCAGGCCAGGCATGGTGGCTCACACCTGTAATCCCAGCACTTCGGGAGGCTGAGATGGGCGGATCACGAGGTCAGGAGTTGGAGACCAGCCTGGCCAATATGGTGATACCCCATCTCTACGAAAAATACAAAAAAATTAGCCAGGTGTGGTAGCACGTGCCTGTAGTCCTAGCTACTCAGGAGGCAGAGGTTGTAGTGAGCTGAGATCATGCCACTGCACTCTAGCCTGGGTGACGAAGTGAGACCCTATCTCAAAAGAAGAAAGGCTTGTTTTATAGCCTAGCATAGGGGCTGACAAACTAGGGCCCGTGGGCCGGATCCGGCCTCTTATCTGTTCTTTTTATGACAGGTGAGCTGTCTTCCACTTTTCAATGGTTTAAAATAAATTCAGAAGAACAATATTTTTGTGACTTGAAAATTATATGAAATTCAAATTTCTGGAATTATAAATAAGCCTCACTCATAAATGTGTGTGTTTTCTGTTGCAGCTTTGCATTACAACAGCAGAGTTGAGTAGCAATAAAGATCGCAGGGCTCAGAAAGCCTAAAATATTTACTATCTGACCCTTCACAAAACTAGTTTACTGACGTCTGGCCAATTCTGTGTTCTGTTCTGGAGAATGTTGCATGTCTACTTGAAAAGAATATGCGTTCTCTGTTTCTAGTGAAGTGTTCTATAAATGTCTGTTAGTTCAGGTTGGTTGACAGTGTTCCTATAGTCCTAGCCACTTGGGGGGCTGAGGTGGGAGGATCACTGGAGCCCAGGAGGTTGAGTCTTCAGTGAGCCATGACCGTGCCACTGCCCACCAACCTGGGAGACAGAGCAAGACCCTGTCTCAAAAAAAAAAAATTATCAAGAATATTGAAATGAAGTATTGTTGAATTGTGTATTTCTTTGTTTGTTTGTTTGTTTTGTTTTTTGAGATGGAGTCTTGCTCTCTCACCCAGGCTGAAGTGTTGTGATCTCTGCTCACTGTAACCTCTGCTTCAGTTCTCCTGCTTCAGTCTCTCGTGTAGCTGGGGCTATATGCGCATACCACCACACCTGGCTAATTTTTCTATTTTTAGTAGAGACTGAGTTTTACCATATTGGCCAGACTGGTCTCGAACTCCTGACCTCAAGTGATCTGCCCACCTCGGCCTCCCAAAGTGCTGGGATTACAGGCATGAACCATTTATCTGGTCAGTTTTTCCCTGTTTTTGTTTTTTGTTTTTTAAATTGAGACTGAGTCTTGTTCTGTCACCCAGGCTGGAGTACAGTGGCACCATCTCGGCTCACTGCCATCTCAGCCTCCTGGTTCACGCAATCCTCCTCCCTAAGCCCCCAGATTACCTGGATTAGCAGCCATGTCCCACCATCCACGGTTATTTTTTTTTTTTTAGTAGAGACAGGGTTTTGCCACATTGTCCAGGCTGGTCTCTAATTCCTGACCTCAAGTGATTTGCCTGCCTTGGCTTCTCAAACTGCTGGGATTATAGGCATGAGCTGCTGTGTCCAGCCTTCAGTTATTTTCTTACTGGTTGCTGTATTCATTCAGTAGGGCTGCCAAAACAAAGTACCACAGATTTGGTGGTTTAAAACAATAGAACTGTGTTGTCTCTGTGGTGGAAGCTAGAAGTGGAGGTGCTTCCTCTGAAACCTTTACGGGAGGATCTTCCCTGCCTCTTCTGGCTTCTGGTGGTTGCTGCAGTCCCTGGTATTCCTTGGCTTGAAGATACCTCACTCCAGTCTCCGACTGTGTCGTCACATGGCTGTCTCCTCCCTGTGTGTCTCCATGTTCTCCTCTAAGAACATCAGTGTCCTTGGATTAGCGTGCTTCCTACCCCAGTATGACCTCTTCTCACTTGATTTTATTTGCAGTGATTCTGTTTCCAAATAACATCATGTCACAGGTACCAGAAGTTAGGACTTGAACATATCTTTTGCGGGGGCATAATTCAACCCACAACAGTGGGTCTAGGGATTACAGTATGTATCTTACTATTGTCTACTTTAGATTAATACTCTTTTAATTCCAATAAAATGTAGAGGCTTTGCTCTGACATAGATCCATTTCCACCCCTTCCCCGTGTTCTTATTGTCATAGATATTACACCTGTGTGTGTTACAAACCTCATAACACAGTGTTTATAGTTGTTACTTACATAGTTGCTTATGCCAATTATAAGCATTGTTTCTCTTGTTAACAAAAAACAAAAATATCACACAGTATTCATGTTAGAACTATACTCATTTTTCAGTTGAAACCATATTCATTTTTCAATTGGCTATGGATACAAGAATTCAGCAAAAATCAACATAGGCATTCTGTGAGAATCCATTGGCTGTATGGAATTTCCCCTAAAGGGTATTGTGCATTTCATAGCTATTTGTAAATTGTGTGCTACTTACTGTGCTACTGTTATATCAGTAACATCCGTATGTACTTGTGTACATGTCTGCGAGCTTTTGGGGAGCGGCTAGTTGAACATCTTCCAGCATGTCGCTGCATGCTGCCTTGTTACTCTCCAGAAAGCCTGAGTTTGCACTTACCATCGGTTATGAGAATTCCTTTTTTCTTGTACCAACACAAGATTGTTCATTCTCCTTATTTCATCTTTTGTCAATATGAGGTGCAAAAAACAATGTAATTTCAATTTACTTTTAGTGTATTTCATGGCCATTTAGATTTCTCTTGGGACATCACCCAGTTTTTTCTTTTGATATTCATGGTGTGTGGTTTTTTTAAAATTAGTGATTTATGGACACTCTGTGTATTAAAAGATTAACCCATTACTTGTCATGTGTTATAACTATTTTTTTTCCCAGTTTGTAACTTGTCTTCTTTCACTTTTATTTATATTGTCACTTTTTGCCAAAGTTGTTTTTCCAGTAGGGTGAAATTTACCAGTGGTTTTTTTTTTTTTTTTGAGATGGAATCTTACTCTGTCACCCAGGCTGCAGTGCAGTGGCATGATCTCAGCTCACTGCAGCCTCTACCTCCCGGGCTCAAGCAGTCCTCCTGCCTGAGCATCCCGAGTAGCTGGGACTACAGGCACGTGCCACCACACCCTACTAATTTTTGTATTTTAAGTAGAGACGGGGTTTTGCCATGTTAGCCAGGCTGGTCTCCAACTCTTGACCTCAGGTGACCTGCCTGCCTTGGCTTCCCAAAGTGTTGGGATTACAGGCGTGAGCCACCATGCCCGGCCACCAGTGTTTTGTCTTCTACCTGAAGTATTTCTTTAAGAGAAACAGGCCTTATTCCAGGGTTATGAAAATAACTACTTATGAAGACCGTGCCTTAAAGATAATTTCTTTGTTACTAGAGAAGTTTCTCTGAACATACAGAGCACCAAAAAAAAAAAAATACTGACATATTTCTTAATATTAGTTCTTGTGGGAAGGTGAGCTCAATGAAAGAAGGGATGTCCTTTATTTGTTTTTTCAAACTTTAAAAGTTTTTAATTCATTTACCCGCTAAGTATACTGAGCAACCACTATATTGTTCACTAAGTATATGCCAGACATATAGTAGTGGCTCAGTATACTTAGTGAACAAACGAATTAAAAGCTTAAAAATCTTCAGTTTTATCAGTATGTATTAATTATCTACTCCACATATAGTAATAGTTTGCTGGAAATTTTATCACAGAAGATGTGTGACATGTTTGTTATTCCTTAAATGTTACGCTGCAAATATTTGTGGAATATTGTGCTGATGTAGAAATGATTTCATATAAGTAAAATTAGAAAACTATAGTTTTCAAGTGTTTTTCTTTGTGGTTTTGGAGCTCCTGAGCAAATTTTTTTTTTTTTTTTTGAGACGGAGTTTTGCTCTCGTTACCCAGGCTGGAGTGCAGTGGCGTGATCTCGGCTCACCGCAGCCTCCGCCTCCTGGGTTCAGGCAATTCTCCTGCCTTAGCCTCCTGAGTAGCTGGTATTACAGGCATGCACCACCATGCCCAGCTAATTTTTGTATTTTTAGTAGAGACGGGGTTTCACCATGTTGACCAGGATGGTCTCGATCTCTTGACCTCGTGATCCACCCGCCTCGGCCTCCCAAAGTGCTGGGATTACAGGCATGAGCCACCGCGCCCAGCCCCTGAGCAAATTTTTAACAGTGAATACTTGTCTAAAATTTAAATGAAGTCTTTTTTTTTTTTTTTTTTAAATACCAGGTCTTGTTCTGGTGCCCTAGCTGCAGTACAGTACTACAGTCTTGGCTCATTGCAGCCTGGATCTCCAGGGCTCAAGCAATCCTCCTACCTCAGCCTCCAGAGCAGCTGGGACTACAGGTGCACACCACCATGCCGAGCTAGTTTTGTTTATTTTTTATAGAGCTAAGGTTTCATTATGTTGCCCAGGATGGTCTCCAACTCCTGGACTCTAGCAATCCTCCCACCTTGGCCTTCCAGAGTGCTGGATTACAGGCTTGAGCCACTGCACCCAGCCTAAACGAAATCTTAATTATGTCAAGACCTGACATAGTTATTTGGATAGCTAATTTGTTTTTCTAATATCTTTTTTTTTTTTTTTAACAGTTTACTTTATCCAAATGCATGGATGCTGTGATGGTACTGGGAAATTCTCATTTATTCATGAATCGTTCCAACAAACTTGCTGTGATAGCAAGTCACATTCAAGAAAGGTATGACCATTGTGATTGCTTTTCCTCTTCAGTGCTTAACATTTATGAGCTTTTTGTGCCAGTTGACATGTATTGTTCCTACTCTCCTGCAGAAGAAAATGTCTTCTGTACCAGTGAATGGCCACAGCACCAAGAGCCGGTACATGTACATTGCGATATCCATGAATTTTGCAAGCCTCATTATTGGTAGATAGTATGTAGTATGACCCATGTAATTTGCACAGATTTTTTTTTTTTTTTTTTTTGAGACAGTATTGCTCTGTCACCAGGCTGGAGTGCAATGGTGCAGTCTTGGCTCACTGCAACCTCTGCCTCCCGGGTTCAAGCAGTTCTGCCTCAGCCTTTCAAGTAGCTGGGATTACAGGCATGTGCCACCACACCCAGCTAATTTTTTGTGTTTTTAGTAGAGACAGGGTTTCACCATGTTGACCAGGATGGTCTCGATCTCCTGACCTCGTGATCTCCCCGCCTCAGCCTCCCAAAGTGCTGGGATTACAGGCATGAGCTATTGCGCCCAGCCTGCACAGATTGAACTATATTATTTAGGCAAAGAGAGAGAAAGCTATCAAATTGGGCAGCTACTTTCCCTCACCTGCCTTCTCATTTTGTGTCTGCCCCAGAGTGCAAGTAAAATGGGGATGTGATTCTGTTTCCCTTTGGTTCTGCATAGCTCTCAGGGTGTGACTGTTTCCCTGTTCTATGAGTGGATCTGGTGCTTAGAAATAAGGATTTTTCTTATAACACTGGCTTCTAAACCCAAGCCAACTACTCGCATCTGGTGCTTGGCAGAAGAAACAGTGGTGGTTTCTAACACTGGTGTGAAACTGGCTGTGTTAGACCCACTGCAAGATGGTGCGTAGCCTGCAGCTGATATGTAAATGTGGCCACAGATACAGCAAAAGTTTTGTGAATAATTTGAACCGTACTTATTTCTCACATGATGCACTGACAGAGAGTTAAATGTGCATGTAAGACACAGCTTTTCTATGTCTTTTTTGTTTTCTTTTTTTTTTTTTGAGACAGGGTCTTGCTTTGTCACCTAGACTGGAGTGCACTGGCACGGTCATGGGTCACTGCAGCCTCTGACCTTCTGGGCATAAGTGATCCTCTTGCCTCAGCCTCCCAAGTAGCTGGGACGACAGGTGTGCACCACCACACTCAGATAATTTTTGTATTTTTTGTAGAGATGGGGGTCTCACTGTGTTGCCCAGGCTGGTCTTGCCCTCCTGGGCTCAGGCACTCCTTTCACGTCAGCCTCCCCAAGTGCTTGGATTACAGGGATATGCCACCACGCCCGGCTCTTCCGTGTCTTAATCACCACATGACAGTAGAAGTGACTTGCTTACCAACATATTTCCTATGGCTAGCTCTCAGGCATATAGCTAGCTTTCAGGTTTTCTTGGTTCTTAGGGCTGCCTGCTTCCTCTGGTGGGGTGAAAGAGCCCCTGGGCCACCAAACACATACTCTCATTTCCATCCTTACTACTTTTTTTTTCTCAGAATTAGTTGAAAAGATGATGCTAGTTTGGTCAAAATACCAATAAAAACTATACCAGGCAAAGTTTTTTTTGTTTTTTGTTGTTTTTGAAATCAAAAATGTTCTCTACCTGATTATCTTTTTTTTTTTTTTTTTTTTGAGACAGAGTCTCACTCTGTCACCAGGTTGGAGTGCAGTGGAGTAGGACGGGGTTTCACCATGCCGGCCAGGGTGGTCTTAATCTCTTGACCTCATTATCTACCCGCCTTGGCCTCCCAAAGCGCTGGGATTACAGGTGTGAGCCACTGCACCCAACCCTGATTATCTTAAAAGTCACAAGGCTCACGCCTGTAATCCCAGCCCTTCAGGAGGCTCAGGTGGGCAGATCACTTGAGGTCAGGAGTTTGAGACAGCCATTCATAGCAGCCAACATAGTGAAAACATGTCTCTACTAAAAATACAAAAAATTAGCTGGGCGTGGTGGTACATGCCTGTAATTCCAGCTACTCAGGAGGCATGAGAATCACTTGAGCCCAGGAGGTAGAGGTTGCAGCGAGCTGAGGTCGCACCACTGCACTCTGGTCTGGGCAACAAGAGAGAGTGTGTTTCTCAAAAAATAAAAAAAAGGGGGGGCTGGGCACAGTGCCTCAAAACGCCTGTAATCCCAGCACTTTGGGAAGCCAAGGCGGACAGATCATTTGAGGTCAAGAGTTCAAAACCAGCCTGGCCAACATGGTGAAACCCCATCTCTACAAAAAATTTAGCCAGGCATGGTGGCGGGTGCCTGTAATCCCAGCTACTCAGGAGGCTGAAGCAGGAGAATCGCATGAACCTGGGAGGCAGAGGTTACAGCAAACTGAAGTCATGCCACTGCACTCCAGGCTGGGTGACAGAGCCAGTCTCCGTCTCAAAAAAAAAAAAAAAGAAAGTCATGAATCAGTAGGAGAATCTTTTCAGGGACCTTTGGACCAGATTTTTGTTACTGGGATAGATGTGTACCTTAAATAAACTGGTAGTGAGTGAGAATTTGGTGTGAACCTGTTGTGTTTGTCATTTGAGAAAGGAAGCATGGGCACCCGTTGGCAGCATTTTGGAGATTACAACCCAATGCCCTCTTTATTTCCCCACACTTTTCAGAAAACACTGAACCAGTAAAATATTCTGTGGTGATAGACAAATGTTTGCCAATTTGCCTATTTTATGTATTTTTTCTTTGTTTTTATACGCTTTTTCTTTTTGAATTTTATCTTACACATTTTTAAACAATGAAATTTACTGTGGAATCTTGTGAGTCCCAGATTGTCATGATTTTGTTTGTTGTCTCTGCTGAATTTCATTCTGATCATGAGTGAGCATGGGCAGTGAGTCCTGGCGTAACCAGGTTTTTCCCCCCTGCTGTTTCAGCCGGTTCTTATATCCTGGAAAGAATGGCAGACTTGGAGACTTCTTCGGAGACCCTGGCAACCCTCCTCCTGAATTTAATCCCTCTGGGAGTAAAGATGGAAAATACGAACTTTTAACCTCAGCAAATGAAGTTATTGCTGAAGAGATTAAAGATCTAATGACCAAAAGTAACAGCTTTTTAAAATTGTTATTTTGCAAGCAGAGTTGGTTTTGGAGGCCTTTAGGCTTTAAGTTCAAAGGTGTGAGGTTCTTTATACTGTATACCTGCACGTTGTCTCTTTTGAAAAATCATTTTCATCAAAGTCGGTGCATTATTTGACAAGCCTCTACGGCATTTGACCGTGACCTGTTTTTCCTCTTTTCTTGAAACATTATTTCATAGTCTCTATTTTTGGCTTTTCCCTCATCTTGTCTCTTAAAATATGTTTTTAATTCCGCGCATGATTTTCATGTTTTCTCCCTCTGTATGTTCTCATCCACTTTTGCCTTTAATTATCTTTCATATGTGGACACTTTCCAATTTTGTCTCTAACCCAGACTTTCTTTCAAGCTCAAATGCCTTCTTTTCAGCGTCCCACAGTCTCTTGACGTGGCCCAGGCTAGTCTCATTATCTTTGTTCTCAATCACACGATTTCCATTCCCTATTTCTGTCTGCTCCCATCTACCTAGTTTTCTAAACCTAAAGCTTTCATTTTTGACTCCTGGTAACTAACATAATAATCAGCTACATAATCCTAGTTGGTTAGCCTCAGAAGCGTCTCCAGAATCCCACTCCTTATTGTCATCTTTTTATTTTTGATTTAAAAAAATGGTTTTTAATAGAGATGGGGTCTTGCTATGTTACCCAGGCTGGTCTTGAGCTCCTGGGCTCAAGTTATCCTCCTGCCTTCACCTCCCAAAGTGCTGGGATTACAGTCAAGAGCCATCGCACCCAGCCCCCATCCCTTATTGTCATCACGATCAGCCTTGACACTGTTGACATTTTGGGCTGGTTAATCCTTTGTTGTGGCAGCTGTCCTGTGCATTGTAGGATGTTTAGCAGCACTTCTGGCCTTGGACCATTAGACGTCATAATACCCCCTAGTTGTGAGAACCAGCTATCTTCAGACATTGCCCAATGTCCCCTGTAGAGCACATTCACCCCACGTTTAGAGCCACTGCTCTAGATGACTGTTAGAGCTTCTAACTGGGTTTCTGACTCCTGTCTCCGCAGTCAAGTCTTTCCACTCAGCCTCTAGAGTTATCATCTTAAAAATCAAGGCCTCGGCTCCTGGGCTTACAGGCCTTTCCTGGCTCCCTGTTGCCTTCAGGTAGTGGTTTTCAAACTTTAGCTTGAATCAGAATCACCTGAGGGGAAAACACGGTTCTAGAGAGACAGAAAGTAGGTTAGTGGTTGCCCAGGGCTGGGCAGGGACAGGGGAGTGATTGCAAATGGGCCCAAGTGATCTTTTGGGGTCATAGAAACTTCTAAAATTGGAGTGTGATGATGGTTGCATAATTGTAAATTTACTAAAAATGAATCGTATACCTAAAAGTACTTTTAGACCAGAATTTTATGGTTTGTAAATTATAAACCTGTTAAGACAGTGTCAGGCCTTACTCACAGTTTCTGATTCACTGGGTCTAGGGAGATCCCAAGAATTTGTATTTCTAGTACAGTCCCAGGTGATGCCCTATAGCTGGTTCCGAATCTCACTTTGAAAGTCACTGGCCTCCAGGATTAAGTCTCAGCTCAGCCTCACAGTATAGTGTTCAAGACCTTTTGTGGTGACCTCACGCATGGGGTGTCCGTTCTCCGGGACCAACTCTAGGCTGATTGGCATGGAGTGTCAATCGGGGCTCCTTGCCCTCTTGAACTGCAGTTTTAGGATTTTGATTTCTTGAGTGACTTTTTTCACCGGAGTCACCAAACAAGTGGCAAAATCCTCCCAGCTTCTCATGGCAAGAGGAAAGAGTTTCTCCAGTCTTCCCTGCACTGGCTGAGCGCAGTGATGGGAAGGAGGGGATGGTGGGAGATGGAGGGCAGGCGCCTCAGAGCTTGGTGCCCTGTCCAGGGTGCTAGAGTTATGCACATTTTGTACCAGGTAGACCAGGAATAAACTAGAACCTTTCCAAGTAAAAACAGGATCTTTTTTGTGTTTGTGTGGTAAATACAAGTAACAAAATTTGCTATTTTACCGATTTTTAGAATTTTTAATGTAAAATTTACATACCATAAAATTTAGCATTTTAATAATATTTAAATGTACAGTTCAGTAATGTTGAGTATATTTGCCTTGTTTTGCAACCGTCGCCACCTTCCATAGTCAGTACTTCCTCATCTTTACAAACTGAAATTCTGTACCTATTAAACACTAACTCCCTGTTCCCCCTGCCCCCCCACTGGCCCCTGAACAAACACCAGGATGTTTTAAATTGAGAAAAGGTTAAAAAGCTGCTTGGTTAACCATTACCAAGAACACATTGCTATGTGTTTGAAAAATGTCTTGTTTGATTTTATTCATGAAGAATGCTTTGGTTTGAAAGTGTGCTTAGTTCAAGTACTTAAATATTCCCTTTTAAATGTTTTCTGTTATTCACAGGTGACATAAAGGGTCAACATACAGAAACTCTGCTGGCAGGATCCCTGGCCAAAGCCCTTTGCTGTATCCTCAGCGTCTGAATCATTTAAAACATGTCTTCTGTAATAAACAAATCTGAACTTGTGACATTTGTTAGGACCTTGGGTGCCCATTAATGGGAGGTGTGAGTACCCTGAAGTGGAGGGTAACTTTAAAAAAAAAAAGTTTATATTGGCTTTGAAATTTTTTTTTTTCTTGAGACAGAGTCTCACTCTGTCACCCAAGTTGGAATTTAGTAGCACAATGTTGGCTCACTGCTTACCTTTGCCTCCTGGATTCAAGCAATTCTCTTGCCTCAGCCTCCTGAGTAGCTGAGACAGGCACCCGCCACCATGCCCAGCTAATTTTTTTTGTATTTTTGTAGAGATGTAGTTTCACCAAGTTGGCCAGGCTGGTCTCAAACTCCTGACCTCAAGTGATCTGCCCACCTCAGCCTCTCAAAGTGCTGGGATTACAGGTGTGAGCCCCCATGCGCAGCCAGCTTTGAAATGTTTTTTAAGACAAGCGGTAAAAACGAAGTGGGAAGAGTGAGAAAACTCCAACTTCTCCATTGTGTCTTTCTGCTTGCAGGGAGCGCTGCTTCAGGCTGCTTTCTTCTTTCGTATTTTGATAAATTAGAACTTTTAAAACATTTTCATCTTCTTGACTTGGGAACAGTGTTTGATTTTTAAAAGCTGCTTAGGAGCCCTAAAGCTTAGTAAATGTGTGGCCACTTCTCCATTGGTGAACAGATTGTTTTCCACGTAGCATAGGGCAAAACCTTTCCATTTTATCTGTGTGACGTTTTCTCAGTCTTATGGCATTAATTTTTGGGGGAAGGGCAATATTGAGTGATTCCTTTGTCTTAGAGTTTGTTGTGGGTTGCCTGAACATCATTGTGAATCAGTACTTGTCCCAGGACTCAAATTTAGGACACGGTAGATAATAATAGGGTAGTCAAGTGTTGGTAATTTTAATTTTCTGAGACAAAGATTATATTTTGGTCAGATGACAAAGCCCAGTTGACTGCAGAGTTAGTAACTGAAACCCTCAATTGTTCTCGCGTTGGTAAGTGGAGCATTTCCTTTCTTAGCTAGGTAGATGCTGGGTGTATTTAAAATTGGAGGTTATTTTTCTTTTTACCATAAATATGTATGAAGTACAATAATATTTTTGTATTCCTTAATGTTAAAAAATTAAGACATTCATAGAATGAACAAGGAAATTAAAGGTAAGAGCCTGCATTTTACTATGAGAACCGTAATCCTACTTATTTTACTAGTATGTCTTTGCTGGACTGTTTAAAAATTGATTAGGAAGCCATATATATTTAGTAAGGTTTAGTTAAATTTTATTCTGCTTTTTTCTCCTTATAGATAATCAGGAAATGAAATCAAGGATATTGGTAAGATTAAAAAAATCATTACTTTGTTTATATGACAACTATAGACAATTAGAAAACAAAATGGAGGCCAGGCGTGGTGGCTCACACCTGTAATCACAGCACTTTGGAAGGTGGAGGCAGATGGAGCCTGGCTAACATGAGGAAAACTCATCTCTACTCAAAATACAAAATTAGCTAGGCGTGGTGGTGCACGCCTGTAATCTCAGCTACTCAGGAGGCTGAGGCAGGAGAATACCTTGAACTTGGGAGGCGGAGGACGTGCTAGAATAAAATAATCTTGGTAATTTGGGAAGGTGAATGCCTTGCTAAGCACGATGTGAAACTCAAAGCTTAAAATCTTGAAAATATGAAACTCCCAAAACAAGGATGAAGGAAAAAGTTTCAGGAAAAGTATTTCCAGCAGAGCTACCTGACAGAAAATTAATCCAATATTTCCAAAATAAAAGCAGCTCTTACAAATTAATTGTTAGAAGTCAAGCTTTAGAAAAACAGGCAGAAAACAAGCAGTCTGCAAAAGAAGAAATGCAAATGGTTAGTTTAGCATTTGACAGTATGTTCAGTCTTACTAGTAAGCAAAAGCACGTCAGATAATGAGATTTTCATTGTTGCTCAGCACAAATGAAAAAACTGGCGGTTCCCAAGGTTGATGGTGAAGTTGGGGATTGATTATTCTCATGCATTGCTGATAGGAGGATAAATTGGTAAAAGCTTTTCTGGAGTGCATTTTGGTAATCTGTATCAAAATTAAATGTTCATATACTTTAGTAGTCAATCACTGCTTATTTTCTGGAAGTATTAGAGAGTTGTGCAGAGGGTCTATGAGGGTGTCATCAGAGCATTGTTTAAAGTGGAGAATTGGAAACTGCCTAAATAGTGGATATTTATGAAGTCAGCAAGAAGCATAGTATATATTCTGATTCATCAACATGAAAATATTTTTTCCCACATACATTGTGGACTGGAAAAGCAAGTTGCAGAATCCTAGGTAATCATCCCGACACCTGCATGTGTGTTTGGAGTGTGTGCATTTTGGGTGTGTGTATGTGGATCTTGGATGTATGTGTGTTTTGGGTGTGTTTGTGTGTTTTGGGTGTGTGTATTTTGGGTTTATGTGTGTTTTATGTGTGTATTTGGGGTGTGTATATTTTGGGGTGTATGTATTTTGTGTGGTGTGTGTGTATTTTAGATGTGTGTGTGGGATGTGTTTTTTTGGGGGTATATTTTGGGTGTGGGGTACGTGTGTTTTGGGTATATGTGTATTTGTGTGTGTATGTATTTTGGATGTGTATTTTTGGGGGTGTGCTTATTTTGGGATGTGTATACTTTTGGGTGTGTATCTTTTCAGGGTGTATTTTGGGTGTGTGTGCCTGTATTTTGGGTATGTGTATGTGTGTGCATTTTGTGTATGTGTATGTTTTGGTTGTGTATGTATTTAGGGTGTGTGTATTTTGGGTGTGGATGTATTTTGGGTGTGGGTGTGTTTTGGGTGTACGTGCACATGTGTATTTTGGGCATGTGTGTGCTTTGGGTGTATGCATGTGTGTGTTTTTTGGGTGTGCGTGTTTTGAGTGTGCATGTGTATATTTTGAGTATTTTGGGTGTGTGTGTTTGGGGTGTATTTTGAGTGTGTGTGTTTTGGGTGTGTATATTTTGAGTGTGTATTTTGGGGGGGTGTTTGTTTTGGGTGTATGTGCATGTGTGTGTATTTTGTGTATGTGTTTTGGGTGTGTATATTTTGTGTGTGCATATGTGTATTTTGGGCATACGTACATGTGTGTGTATTGTGTGTGTGTGTGTGTTATATATACCTACCTACATAGGTGCTCTCGAGAATGAGTTCATCAAACCCTTACATGGACTGTCGCTGGGTGGTAGGATTTGGGGGGAAATGTCACTGTCATCTTTATCCTTTAGATATCATTTAATAATGATAAATGGGAAGACAGACTGGAATAATGTTGGTTATGGTTCACAGTATATTGTGTGACACTGGTGTGAGAGAACTAGGATGTGCCTGAACGGAATTAACATGGCTGTGATTTTTAGGTGATTAAGGCTGCAGAAGACAGTGCGTTGCAGTATATGAACTTCATGAATGTCATCTTCGCAGCACAGAAACAGGTGAACCGAGAGCCTACCTTTTAAAGTATTTGTTTCATAAAGAAGGAGTCAGTTTCACTTTTTGAATGCTCTACTCTGAGATAATTCTGATTAAATAGCCTTATGAATGGGCTAGGAATCCAGAATCTGTATTGTGTTGTAGTCTTTTCTCTATTTTGGGTCCTGGACCACTTGAGAATCTGATGCATTCCCAAAACAACGTGCACTCAACCACGGTTTTGCATAGAGTTTATGGTATTCAGGTCACCCGTTAGCCCATCCTTGGACCCCATGCCAAGAATATCTGGTTTGACAGTTTGCTGTATAAACCTTGCCTCAATTTCTTTATCATTTTGCTGTGGTGAGGTCTATCAAGATTCAGTATTTGGGCCGGGTGCAGTAGCTCACACCTATAATCCCAGCACTTTGGGAGGCTGAGGCGGGTGGATCATGAGGTCAAGAGATCGAGACCATCCTGGTCAACATGGTGAAACCCCGTCTCTACGAAAAACACAAAAATTAGCTGGGCATGGTGGCGCACACCTGGAGTCCCAACTACTCGGGGGGCTGAGGCAGGAGAATTGCTTGAACCCAGGAGATGGAGGTTGCGGTGAGCCGAGATCGCGCCATTGCACTCCAGCCTGGGTAACAAGAGCGAAACTCCGTCTCAAAAAAAAAAGATTCAATATTTTTACTTTGCAAAGAACTGACACGTTCAGATGAAGTATAATACATTTTCTTCTTTGATATATTTATAAAGAAAGAATACCTTCTTAAAACTTTAATTTTCATGTGAAATGCTGCTGTAGCTTTGCATAATGTTCTCTATTGTGGAGTGGCAGCATGATGTAGAGGAGAAAGCATGAATTTTGGAGATAGGCCGAGTGGGGTGACAGCTTTGCCACCTGTTGGCTCTGTGACCACAGCCCAGCCATGTCCTGGGTGCTTCAGCTGCCAAATGCAAATGAAATATCTGTCATGATGTGTATTGAGCAAGCTATTTTAAGCATAGAGTATGGCGTGTAGTATGTTCTCAGGGTAGGGTAGTCATTATTGTTATTATTCCTGTAATATCTTTAAAATGTTTCTTTCAGAATATTTTGATTGATGCCTGTGTTTTAGACTCCGATTCAGGGCTCCTCCAACAGGTATGTTTTAAAACCATGCTTTGTGTGGCTGGTTATGAAAATTAGTGATTTTATATTGATTACAATTCAAAATGAAAATGCTTTGGGTATATTGGGTTAAATAAAACATGTTATTGAACCTAATTTTTTTTTTTTTTTTGAGGCGGAGTCTTGCTCTGTCACCCAGGCTGGAGTGCAGTGGCATGGTCTTGGCTCACCGCAACCTCTGCCTCCCGGGTTCAAGCGTTTCTCCTGCCTCAGCCTCCCGAGTAGCTGGGATTATAGGCGCCCACCACTGCGCCTGGCTAATTTTTGTATTTTTAGTAGAGACAGGGTTTCACCATGTTGGCCAGGCTGGTCTCGAACTCCTGAACTCGTGATCTGCCCACCTTGGCCTTCCAAAGTGCTGGGATTACAGGCGTGAGCCACCATGCCTGGCCTGAACCTAATTTTATGTATTTATTTCCCCCTTTCTTAGGGAGCTACTAGAAAATTTTAAATTACATATTGCTTGCATTATATTTCTGTTGGACAGCACTATCAGATGTTGCTTTTTCCTTTGAGACAGAGTCTCCCTTTGTCACCCAGGCTGGAGTGCAGTGGCGGGATCAGGGCTCACTGCAAACTCCCCCCCCCCCGGGTTTTAGCAGTTCTCTGCTACAGCTTCCTGAGTAGCTGGGATTACAGGTGCCTGCCACCACACCCGGCTAATTTTTGTATTTTTAGTAGAGACAAGGTGTCACCATCTTGGCCAGGCTGATCTTGAACTCCTAACCTTGTGATTCACCCACCTCTGCCTCCCAAAGTGCTGGGATTACAGGCATGAGCCACTGTGCTACCTGCTGAGGCTCCTGGGAACCTTTTGCCCTGCATCTTTCACACTCTCCCTCTCCCGTCCAGCCCCACCTGCCTCCTTGCTACTGCCTGAAACAGGCCTGCTTCAGCCAGAGGGTCACTGCGCCAGGTGTTCTCTCTGCTCGCAAAGCCAGATGTTGCTTTTTAATGAAAAAGACAAAAACTGAATTTTACTTTAACTTGAAAGGGAAACAAAACCCTAACCCTAAAGTAAGTCTGAAGAAATTACCAAGCTTATGTTAGATGTTTTTTGGCCACAAATGTTGTTTCCTAAAGGATCAGTTACAAGCGCAAAACTGTGACAAACCCTGAATTTAGGTTACTGCTACAGATGAAGGATGAGGAGAGCAAGGTCCAGTCAGAAATTCATAGGCTTCAAAGGTTCTGAGATTGTACTGTTTCTTCAGCTGATCGTAGGTATACAGATATGATGTTTATTTTATTATTTAAACCATACTTGGCCAAGCGCGTTGTCTCACACCTATAATCCCAGCACTTTGGGAGACTGAGGAGGGCAAATCACCTGAGGTCGGGAGTTTGAGACCAGCCTGACCAACATGGAGAAACCCATCTCTACTAAAAATAGAAAAATTAGCCAAGCGTGGTGGCGCATGCCTGTAATCCCAGCTACTCGGGAGGCTGAGGCAGGAGAATCACTTGAATCACCTGGGAGCCAAGATGGTGCCATTACATTCCAGTCTGGGCAACAAGAGCGAAACTTCATCTCAAAAAAAAAACCACACACACCATAGTTGCACATTATGTATATAGATTCTTGTATGTATTATGTTTCAGTAGTAAAAATTCAAAAAGTTTGAATTCATGTGTTAGCAACACATTTCAGTCTACACATTATCTGTAACTCCAAGACGATCTTGCCTCTGCCATGACTTCAAATGCCAGCTCTACCTCCCCGGCCCTCACGTTCATTCTCTAGTCCAGTCCCAGACTCTCCTGAGTTCCAGACTTGCAGAATCCGCCCTGTCCGTAGTACCTGCTCTTGGACATCTGGCAGGCATCTTCCACGTCATGTGTCCAAAGCAGAGAGCTCTTGGTTTGTCCTCTCAGCCTCTTCCTGCCCCATCTTCCTAAGTGGCAATGCAGCTCACTCAGCAGTTCAAGCAAAAACCCAACTCTTCCTGTCTCTTCTCTTCCCTCCTTTCATATCCATGAGCAAATCCTGTTGATTCTGTCTTTAAAAATATATCCTGGCTGAGCTCAGTGGCTCATGCCTATAATCTAACAGCAAAAACTGCAATTACTTTTGCACCAACCTAATATAAATTCGAACATGGTGCTCACTTGCTTGAAACCCTCCCATGGCCTGTCATCACATGTCAACTAAAACCCAGAATCAGGGACTGCCAGGGCCTTTAAGATGCTGCCTGCTGAGGCTCATGGGAACCTTTTGCCCGAATCTTTCACACTCTCCCTCTCCCATCTGGCCCCACCTGTGTCCTTGCTACTGCTTGAAACAGGCCTGCTTCCGCCAGAGGGTCCCTGCTTTAGCTGTTCATTCTGCTCACAAGCTCTTCCCTCAGGTGTTTGCATGGCCTACTCCCTGCCTGCCTTCAGGTCTCTACTTCTGTGCCACCTCCTCAGAGAAGCCTTCCCTGACCACCAGTGTCAGTGTTACTCCCTCTCCCCTTACCCTGCTTTATTTTTCTTCATAGAAGTGGTCATAACCTATAACATTATTTTTGCATTTACTTAACTGATTTACTCTCTGTCTTCTCCACTAGAACGTTAACTTCACGAGGATGGACACTGTGTAGTGCTGTAACCCCGCACGGTGCTCTAAAATAGTTGTTAAATGTGTAAATGAATCTAATAGACCAGCTGAACCAGGACTGTACTATCAGAGGACCCTCAATCCTAGAATCAGAGCTAGAAAACCCTAAGCCAAGATCCAAGTGTAAAACCCTAACCCAGAGCAGCCGAGATTGCCTCCCTGCACTCCAGCCTGGGTAACAGAGCTAGACTCTGTCTCAAAAA